AGAAACTCTCTGTTACTAAAACCATGAAAAGGATACATAGAGAATAAAAAAATCAATAAAAAAACAACAAAACATTTAAAAAAAATAAATATATAAAATTAATCATAAATTGAATAAGATCTATATTAAAATGAAGAGGCATACATAAAAATATAAGAAGAGAAGAGAGAAATAAAAAAAAGTAGGGTGCGATCAGTTCAGTGCAGAAACAATGCTCAATCAGGGAATACGCAGCTAAACAGATGCGTTAAAGGGATAGTTCACCCAAAAATAAAAAGTCCGTCATCCAAACCCGTAAGACTTTCATTCATCTTCGGAACACAATTTAAAGGGGTCATATGATGCGATTTCAAGTTTTCCTTTCTCTTTGGAGTGTTGCAAGCTGATTGTGCATAGATAAGATCCCTGAAGTTGTAAAGACTAAAGTCTCAAAACCAAAGAGATATTCTTTATCAAAGTTAAGACTCTGCCACGCCCCCCTAAAATGGCTCGTTATAACACGCCCCCACATATCTACCTCACTATGTGGAAATACTAGCATAATGCCGCCCAAATGTGCACGCAAAGAAAGAAGGCGTGGTTTCAGTAACCGCAGTTAGTGTTGAAGCAGCATGTCAGAGAGACGCTGAGAGAGAGAGACGGGGTCACATCACAATGGAGTCAGCTGTCTTAACCGTGGCTTGTGTACTGCAAACACATACCAGCTTCATCACTGTGTCTGTCACGCGACTCTGTTCCCCTTTCGGGCTCTGTCTTTACATTTATTTTGAAAGATGAAGCTCGCGATTATGGTAAGGGGCGTTACATTTCCGACGAGTGCTTGCGGTGTTCGGCCAATCACAATGCACTGGGTCAGCTGGCCAATCAGAGCAGACTGCGCTTGTCAGAAGGAGGGACTTTGTAGAAAACAAAGCGTTTGAGAGAGGCGGGGCATAGAGGACCAACAATAATGTACAGTATTTTAAAAATAATGTGTTTTTTGAACATTAAAGCATGTCAACATATTCTGTTGCACCAAATAATGATCTTTAAAAAAGCATCATATGACCCCTTTAAGATATTTTTGATGAAATCCGAGAGCTTTCTGTTCCTGAATAGACAGCAACACAACTGACACGTTCAAGGCCCAGAAAGGTAGTAAGGGCATTATTATAATAGTCCATGTGACATCAGTGCTTCAACCATTTTATGAAGCTACGAGAATACTTTTTGTGTGCAAAGAAAACAAAAATAGAACGAAGATGAACGAAGGTCTTACAGGTTTGGAAGGACATGAGGGTAAGTAATAAAACTATGAATTCCATTGCATTAAAAGTTGCATCACAATTATTGCCATCTGACCTAAGGGCTTAATTGTCTGAATTTGAGGCCACCGTATTCAAACGTTCATGTGTAGTATTATTTTAAACTGCAAATGTCTTTGGCACTGTTGTGATTGTAGACCTCAGAGATTCTCCGACAGCTGAACACACGAATGATGGTGAGGAAGTACGTGCGGGGAATTACGCCGCAGAAAAAAGCACAGGTCACTATTACTGTTGTCACAGGCCTTTGAGTCTTTAAAATAGTTTCAGCTCATGTTTAAATTTTGGCTAATGATGAAAATGTCTTTTCACAGCTGCAGCAAAAAGTAGTAACCAGTGCCATCTTTAAGGGAAAGAAGGACAGCTACCCTTCGAGCATTGCTGTTCCTTTTGAGGACACTAGAATCAGTCAGTAGTTTACATAAACAACAATTAGTTTTGCACAGATCCTTTTGCATGTCTTATGTACTGTCTTTCATTTACTAGATGAACAAGACATCAATATGAGGGTTCTTCAGACTATACATCATGAACGTATCAAGGTAAATCAGAATCTTTATAATGTTTGAGGCCCAATTGTCAAGCATACAGAATAGAATAAGAACTACATATGTCACCTAAACGCACGTTCTCTCGCTGCAGTACAGCGTTCCTGTGGTGAAGTATGACAGAAATGGATTTAAACCCAGACCAAGGCAACTTATTCTCAGTCAGGCTGCTGTATATTTGGTAGAGGAGGCTAAGATCAAGCAGAGAGTGGACTATGTTTCTCTAAAAGGTGGGTTACGAAGGGTAGATATGTGTAGTCGCTCAATGAAATAAAATAACTTTACAGCACTCGTAAAGATGTCTCCTTTTAATTATTCCCCTGTAGCATTCTCACCAGGGCGGTATCCTCAAAGGTACAACTTTGTACCTTATTTACCCCTAAATGGTGCATATTAGTACGTTAAGGGACTACAATGTACTTCTAAGGTACCAATATGCACCCATTAGAGGTAGATAAGATACAAATGTGTACTTTTGAGGGCATGTTGTACCCCTAAAAGTACAATTTTGGACTATTCTGGGGTCAGCAAGATTTTTTTAATGCTCATCAAGGCTGCATTTATTTGATCAAAAAAATACAGAGAAAGTAATATTACATTTCAGTTCAAAAGAACAGCTTATTTAAAAAAAAAACAAAAAAAAACTTTTTTTTTTTGCGCAATAGAAATCTTTTGTAGCATTATAAACACTTAAGATCAATTTAATCCATCCTTGCTAAATAGAACTATTGATTTATTTATTTTTTTAAATCTTACTGACCCCAAACTTTTGAATGATGTGCATGTGTGTTTAATTGTAACATTTATTTGCAAAGCAGCGAGAACCAAGTCCACAGTGAATCTATCTTGTGTACACAGGTGCTTCTGTCAGTAATCTGGGCGACTCTGTCATGATCCTCCACGTTGCTTTGAATGATCCAAAACAGAAGGTGAGCAAACCAGGCTTCACACTTATGTAAACGCTAGACTTTCATGATACACAAATCCATACCTTTGCAAGTACTAATGTAGTTTACTGTATCTAAGGGGGACTTGGTACTTCAGTGTGACCACTTGTTTGAAGCTTTGACCAAACTGGCTACGATTGCAAACAAGCAGAATAACATCACGGTTGTTCAGGGAAGGTAAAGTGGCCAGCACTTATTTTTCAACCTGTAATGTTCATTTGGACACAGTGTGTTAACATTTGATCTTCTCACAGCATCAAGTTTGAGATCCAGGCAGGCAAGGAGGGTGGTGTGGATTTTAGCACTGGTCAAGAACCTATGATCTATAAAGGCAAAAATGGTCATCTTATGGTGGTAAGTGATTATTTCCGTATTTTGCTTTGACCAAACTGGCTACGATTGCAAACAAGCAGAATAACATCAAGGTTGTTCAGGGAAGGTAAAGTGGCCAGCACTTATTTTTCAACCTGTAATGTTCATTTGGACACAGTGTGTTAACATTTGATCTTCTCACAGCATCAAGTTTGAGATCCAGGCAGGCAAGGAGGGTGGTGTGGATTTCAGCACTGGTCAAGAACCTATGATCTATAAAGGCAAAAATGGTCATCTTATGGTGGTAAGTGATTATTTCCGTATTTCAGCTTAATGTAACATTATTGCTCCAGTACTTAGACTCTTTCATTATCAAAGGTGGCTCCACGGGTCAAGTCTCGATGATCTAAAGGAGGTCACCAAGTCTGTGTATATTTCATGAGGGAAACCCTTATGGAAGAAGAGATCTTTCTCCATCCCCCAAACTGACACACACTTATCACACACTCAGTATATTGAGATTCAAAGCAGCACTCTGTGTACAAATGGAAAATTACAGCTAAATGGTTATTTAAAATTATATATATTTTGTTGTTTTCATAAATGCTGCCCTTCTGGTTTCAATTCTTGATGACATTTCTTATTTCCTTTGGTCATGTTCATGCTTTGTTGTTGAGCCATATTTATAACATTGTTTTATACCAATACATACAAACCGCAGAAATAAAATACAAAGCAAATGCGCAGTTTGATCTACAAAATTTGTAGAAATCTTTATTCGTGCTAACGTGTGTATAAATAATTTGTATGTAAAACATTTTTATTCATGTGCACGTCTGTACAGACCTCTCTACAGTATTACAGATTTCAAAGTTTTTATTTTATTTAAATACACCTTTAATAAAACTAATAATCATCTGTGATGCTGCAGCAGAGGAGAGCCTGTACTCTCGTACTTCCTGGAGCTTCTTTGACGTGGTCCGGTCTCTGATTACACACTCATACTTGGTGTCCATTTCTCAATTACAGATATACATCCGAACGCTTCTGACTACATCTCAGTTTCTTTGCTTGAATGAGATCACTTTCAAAACCCAGAAGCATAATTAACTTGATGGAATTTAATACAGTTCAGCAGAAAGTTATTTAATAGCATAATCTATTTTACTGATTGTAGCTAGAAGGGGATAGAAAATTTGACAACTACTGCTTTAAAAGTGCCTCCTCCTCATGTATAAGAGTGAAAACACCATAACACTACACTGCCCTCTATAGGCCAAACTCATACAGACCTGCCAAAAAAAATCCAGCACATACAATTCTCAAGTGACAGCGTGCATGGATATTTCTGCGCAAGCATAATAAAATGAAAATTGACAGATTAAGAATTTGTATGACACTCTTCTCTAACCAATATAAAAATATGGGAGTTATGGATTGAATTCCTCTCAAAAGGCAATAATAATATCCTCCTGCACTGGATTCACTGATCACTTGACTGTCAAATCACACTGACATTCAAGATGGGTTAAACTTCCTGAATCTCAGTAAGACACACTGTCAGCACTGTGAAATCCTGGCTCTAACACTTCAGTTCAAAGCGACAAGAAAAGAGGGATAGACTAAACTCAAAAGCCACAAAAATCCACCGTCTATCACACAACAAAAAAAAAGAACAGGATTAATCTATAAAGCACCAGGAACCCTACAGTCTTCACACGAACAGAAAAAAATATGGTAAATAATGTCAAATACAAAAATACTACGGCAGACAACTAAATTTGGAAAATATCCATTTGCTGCAAACCTACAAGTAAATGACAGTTTAGCTGATCGACTTGATACAGTGGTGTGAAAAAGTGTTGGCCCCTTTCTGTGTGACAAACATGCAAAAAAATAAGAAATCAGGAAGGGGGCCAACACTTTTTCACACCACTGTATATTCATTGGAATTTGCTTTATGAATAGCAAACAGGGCAACATGTTCATGAATGCAGTAAAACTAACAATCTGTTGTGCATTTCTATTCACATTTACACCATCATAGTATCTTTTTAGAGAGGTCCTCAAAAATGCACAGGAGGTCAACGCTGCACTGCCCTATATGCTACATTCATGTATCATTATCAATACTAGCGATTCTGTGAGCATCCCTTTGACTCTCTAAGGAAGCAGATTCGGGATAAACTTAACTGACGTGTCTGTGTGCAAACAGAGGGGTGTAACCGAAGCGCTGGTAGTTCTTAAGGCACTGAAAAGAGGAGAAACTGCAGGGTTACTGGTGGTGGTGAGTGCGGTCATCAGGGCGCTTGATGTGGATCCTCCGCACTCTTTCAATGCGCTCCCTCTCTTCGTCCTCGTCGATGTGGTGGGAACGCCCTGCGGCGCCCCCTGTGGCCTCCAGTAGTGCATTGTCAGGTCCGCGGCCATCTTGAGACTCATAGAGCAAGATGTTGAGGGTTTCTTCGTAGATGCGAGCCTCTGGGAACTCAACCTGTGATGGAGGGCGTCATATAAAAAAAGTGAGTCATATAAACCTATCAGAAGCATTTAGGACAAATTTATCTTGTTTTGGGGTTTTGTGAAGGTTAATTTGAGACTTTAGAACAATCCAGCAATATGCTCTCACAATGATGAGTTATGTTTCAATACATCAAAGTTTGAAAATACAACTTCCAACAGATATTTAATACTTTTTCATTTAATTAATCATTTTACAGTGCAAATTCTGCCGTAAGTTTCGTAAATCAAGACAATTTACTTGAGAATCGAAATTATATGTCTTGATTTTTTGGAATTAGATATTTGTATTGGAAAACAATATAATAAGGTATAGATTTATTTTTTGCTGTGCATGCAACATTTAATGCTGTGACTGAAAACTTTTTAACCCAGAAATGAAGAGATTTCATGTTTTGAAAACAGAGAAAATGCCAGACTGTATAAAAAGTTAGATTTTAATCATGTGACGGACAGATAACCCTTTACCTTTGTCTGCTTCTTCTCAGTGGCGTAGACTATTGACGTGCAGCACACCTCTGCAATCTTCCTGCCCTGGCCGTAAAAGGACCAGCAACAAATCTCATCCCCAATCACATCCTTGATGAAAAGCACTCGGCCATTGAACCTCAGAGACAGCTTGTCAAACAGCTCAATGTTCTTCAACATGTTGTCATCAGAGTTGCTACAAAGAGAAAGAGCAATCTGATCAGGTAGAAGCTCAACAGTAAGCTTCTCAACAAGCCAAGCCTTATAAGAAATTAAACACTTTACCTTGTATATGAATATTTATTGTTGCTCCTGTTGTACAGCAGTTTGACTGTAGGCTGCATATACACAGAAAAACAAGTCAGTATAGTATTATAGCATTCCTTTAGGATTGACATGATAAAGCATTTGTACCTTATTTGCAGTGGCAATGAGCCTCTGTTCCTCCTTAGATGATGTCACCAGTGGAACTTTACAGAATGGTTCATACGCATCTTTGTTCTGAAAACATTTGTAAACTAGAAATTTAGAAAATTTAGAATATAATCTAAAAAAAAAAAAAAAAAAGTATAATTATTTTAAAAAATATTTGAACATCTAATATGCTTATTTAAAATGAAAATTCTGTCAACATTTATTTCCCCTCATGCCTTTCCAAACTCTTCTAAGATTTCTGCTCTCCTTCCGAACACAAATTAAGATATTTTTAATGAAATCTGAGAGATTTCTCTTGGTCAGTTACACTAAAAATGTGATGCTTCAAAAAGTTTCAAGAAGAATTTTAAGTTTTAAATTTAAGTCTTCTGAAAAGACAATTACTTTATATGCTGAACATTTAATTTACTTTTATTCATATAAACACATACATTAAGAACATCAAAAATGTTAACTCATATGTGCTTGCTTGATGCGCAAGAACCAACAAGGTTCATTATGTGTAGAGCCCGACCGATATGGGTTTTTTGGGGCCGATACCGATATTAGGGAGTAAAAAAAAGGCAGATACCGATATATCGGCCGATATTCTTTGTGTATATTATAGTACAGTACCAGTCAAAAGTTTGGACACTTTCCCATTCGTGTGTCCAAACATTTGACTGGTACTATATATAGAATACAGTATATACATAAACAGAATATATATACATAAACACATTTTTTGCAATGATCACTCGAATGTGGTGATCAAACACTTATAATGTAGTGACAGAGAAAAAATAAAATAAAAAAAATATATATAAACAAAATAATTTAGTTTGTCTTGTATTTTTTTTTTCATTCGATCAGATAAGATTTTAAGCTGTCATATGGTCAAGTTACAAAGTGCCCCTCAGATGTTACAATGTGTTCCACCTACGGGGCATGTTGTCACATTTCACTTCCATTTTTTGAGGGTAAATAAAGAAAAACGTATACACTGTAATTATGAAACAAAGCAACATATTTGTACTAGACAAGTGTAAAATTACCGTGGATAAAAAAAAATATATATTCTGAACCCCATGTGGATTTACACAAACTGAGAAAGTCAAAAAGTGTTACTTTGTGCCCCGCTCTCTCCTACCTCTGTAAATAAATACAATATAAATTCACGTCTCGCGCACTTTAATGCCCTTTGAATGTAACGTGTACGGAATCATGGCGGAATTTCATGTAAAGTCCACTTCGCAGGGGACTTACGGTCGAATAAGACAACGCTTGAATGCTGCTGTCTGAACAAGAAACCTCCTTACTGAAGGGAAAGTGTTGACTGGTGTCACTATCTCGTGAACGCGCCGGCAGATCTCCACCAAATTCGGGGGAGAGGGTTCCTCGAGTTGAAGGGATCCCCCGAATTTGGTGCGGATTCACCGCGCCGTTACGGAGATATGGTCGTTCAAAGTTTCAATGGTTTTCCATAGCCTTAAGCTTTAAAGCGTTTCATCCAGGTCGCCAGTAGAAACAATGGAGCGCTCTGCTGGACAAACTAAGTAATTACACCATTTCAAGCATTTTATCTGCATTATATGTTCTGTTAAAAAAATTTTCATATCGGCGGCATATTCGCCGATACCGATATATCGGAGACAGGCTCATATCGGCAAAACGATATATCGGTCGGGCTCTAATCGTGTAAAACAAGTACATTTGAACTTCTGCATGAACCAGTGAGGTTTGCACTCACACATCATGTACGTACGGTTGAGCTTCTGTTTTATCATATCTGGTGTGCTCTATATATGCGTGTTGATCAGTTTTTATATGTGAATAAATGAAATTTATTCTCTTGGCCAGCGATATGATATTTGCTGATAGCTCAAAACGTGCCACAAAACATGATTCAGGATCCCACAATCAATATATTGATATTAAGCTAAAATATTTAGGCATATATGCGCCTATTTTTTACACAACCATTTATTTTTTCATTAAAATATAACAAACATTTAACTGAACTGTACTCCGGTTATGGAAAAAACAGAAAAATAAATTCAATTCAAGTTTATTTGTATAGCGCTTTTCACGATACAAATCGTAGCAAAGCAACTTTACAGAAAATTACGTTTCTACAATATATTTAGTAGTAACTTACCAGTGGTGACTGTCAGTTAATGTACATACGGCAGAAATGTACGGAAAAATCTATTAAAGATGTAATCAAACAGACGATGAACACTATTAACAGCAATTATTAGATGATGCAATCAAACTTATAGCAAAATTTGGTAGTTCTGTATGTTGTTTCAGGGTTGGCATCATCTCTTCTCAGGTGCTTTAAATATTTAAAAAAATATTTCAAAAATGTTGATAATGCTTAACTGCTCTATTACAATTATATATTTTTATTAAAGGGGTCATATGATGCAATTTAAATTTTTCCTTTCTCTTTGGAGTGTTACAAGCTCTAACGTGCATAAAGAAGATCTGTAAAGTTGCAAAGACTAAAGTCTCAAATCCAAAGAGATATTCTTTATAAAAGTTCAGAGTCAGCCACACCTACCTTAAACGGCTCATTCTAACACGCCCCCACATATCTACCTCACTATCTGGGAAGATTTGCATAACGCCGCCAAAATGTTCACGCAAAGAAAGAAGGCGTAACTTTTATTCTTGCTGTAGTATTGTTGCCGTCGCCGCCATGTCGTGAAGACGCTGTGTGTTTCGTTGTGAAAGTGAACTACTTTGTTTGGTCTTCCAAAAGAGGACGATATCCGCTTCGTCATGCCTAGAGCTGATCCGTGCTGGTTGCTGAGGAAATACATCAACTTCGCGCTGTGGATCGCCGGATCGGCTTTCACCGTGGACGAAGCAGAGTCCAGCCCGGGGTTGTCACATGTGGTTGCCGCAGGCATCACAGTATGGTAGGGGACGTAACATTTCCGTCACACGCTTGAGGAATTCGGCCAATCACAACGCACTGGATAGCTGGCCAATCAGAGCACACCTCGCTTTTCAGACCGATGAGCTTTGTAAAAATCAACACGTTTCAGAAAGGCGGGGCATAGAGGAGAAACAATAATGTACAGTATGTGGAAAATAATGTGTTTTTTTAACCTTAAACTGCATAAACACATTTCATTACACCAAATAGACAAAATAATGTTCTTTTAGCAACATCATATGACCCCTTTAAAGTCAGATAGTTAGACAGACAGATAGATAGTCTGTATTTCGATTCTATAAATCTGTATTTCGATTTGTTATGCATTACATCGATACATTGAATCATCATTTGATTGATGCATTGCTACACCTCTAATAAATGGAGCAACATAAATCTCTCAGGTTTCATAAAAACAATTTCATTTGCATTTTGAAGATGAACAAAAATGGGTTTGAAGCCAGATTTAAATGATGACAGAATTTTTTTATTTAAAAGGTCCCATATTGTCAAAACTGAAATTTCCTAGCTTTTTCCATGATAACTGAGGTCTAGGGGCTATGTAACTACTATATACGTTTCAAAACTTTCAGTCACCACCCCACCGTCCCACCCTCCTTTTGCCAAACCCCCAGACATCTGGGGGTCGCCGATTCGGGGTCTGAGTTCGGCTCAAACATGTATGTCGGACAACATTTCCCTCAGCAGTGACCATCATTACCGGTGTTTCTATTGACCTTACTTGTATCACCAAGCCACAGCAGGCTACAGGATACATGACCCTAGTAACCTGTGGTTGACCTGGCCGTGCGTCACTAAGAAAACAACAGGACCGGCCAAAAACAAACAAAAAAAAAAGACAGGCCAAAATCGACCTGTTCTAAGCAGAGCTCCTGAGAGAGGAGCAGTAAAAATATATTGAGATGGTTTTTGGTGCTTATACCGCAAATATATATTCTTAAGGACATCAACACCTAAAATAAAACTCCAGAAAGGTGTAAAATATGTGACCTTTAAATGTGTTGTAGCCAGTACTGTACCTGTAATGCCGCCTGACACTCATCCACCAGGCCCTGCACCAGGTAATACTTTGCCTCTGCCAGTAACTCCTCCGTCTCCCTCCGGCTCTCAGGTAACGGGACGACTCCGTCTCTCAGGTAGTTCAGGATGGTCCCAAAGTGCTTCCCGCACCTGTCAATCAGAATCCAGCCTGGAGAAAGATCAGAGGTGAAAAGTGTGACTGCAGAAGCACACATTTGTATCGATATGGTTCATAATATTACATGAACTCTTCTGCAGTAGCTATTACAGTACATCTACCTTCACTATCAGTTAGGACCTCCATACGGCCACTGAACATGGCCTTCAGCATGGTGTCCTGCTTGGTCAGGGTCTGCATGGTGGTGTAGTACAGCGCTCCCCCGACATTCAGCTTCACATATTTGGAACTGGGACTGGACCCCTTGAAGGAGGTGGTCCGTGTTGTAGCTGCCGGCACAGCCAAGCTCACCACACTTTCTCCTGACATCTCTTCCTGAAAATCAGGTATGAAAATGCAGGACTCATAAAATAGATAATACATATATACAGTATATATAGTATACATATAGATATAGAAACATGCTCTTTTCTCTGTATGTACATTAGACACTTTTTATAAACACTCAGTGCTACAAAGACTCAACATGATAATATAGGTTTACTTGTGCATTGCACTACAAATCATCTTGCACTATGCACTGCTTCCCCCAAAATATCTCTTTTGCACAATTTCATGTACAGTATTTAAGTAAAGTTCTTGTACAGTCTCAGATTATGCGTGTTTTATAGTATAGGCCTATGTATAGTCAGACGGTTAACTTAACTAGTTTTATAATTGTTTTTCTTAACTTCTATTGTTGTATGTTTATGTTATGTTAACTAATATGTAGCACCGTGGTCCTGCAAGACATGACATTTTGTTCCACTATTATGTCCACACATGTAGCAGAATGACAATCAAGCTCAACTTGACATTTCTCTCATGGGATTAATAGTGTATGCATCGACAACACTCACACACGCGCACACACACGCACACACACGCGCACACACCCACACCCACACACACCCACACACACACACACACACACACACACCCCTCAGAATGACAATAAAGCTCAACTTGACATTTCTCTCACATTCCCTCCCACAAGTCTCTTAAATTCTATTAACTGTAACACATTAACAAACTGATTGTAAAAGATTAAATCGTGATGATAACTCATCTCTCCTTCAACGAGAAACACAAAGCACGATGAGACCGATTTAATGACAAAAACTGCTGTGATGCTTTTTCTTAAACCCAGTAATTTGGCTCATTTCATTCCTGTACATATTGGTTTTGCGTATATATATGATTCGTAACTGAATACGAAAAAAACCATCACTTAATTTAAAGTTACTCATAAGAAAAGGACAACTAACGTTAGAGGAGCTAAAGCGCTAAACTAGCACACCATCTTGTTCTCTCAATTCCTTCACGGAAATAAACACGAGCTTACTCGTAAAAAAAGTTAATTACACGCCACAATATATAATAATTAAAATATACAGCAACATAAGCCTACGAATTAGATTAAACATCAAACAAATGTGATTATTTACCATAGAAATTCCCCGAGTCTTTCGGGCCTCTTCGAACGGGGATTAGATCACTTCCGGTCGCGACCCAGACTCGTGCGCTTTGTAATACAGTAGCATGTCCTGCCATTTAATCTGCTCACTTCCTGTGTTTGTAACTAATTTGTGAGTGCCGGGGATTCTATACATAACAAAAATGTAACAACGAACGTTGTGTCTGATACGATGTCCAATATTAGTGTAACACTGATGTAGTGTTGGCATCAGTTCACAGACACTTTTTAGATGCCATAATAAAATGTTTTTGGATACATATGTTTAGGATATACTGTCTCTCCAAATATCTTTTAAAACGACATCACAACAACAAAATAATTTGAGACAAATTTTGCAAATCATTTGCAAATATACTTTGAGTCTTTAAAAACATTTTTAAATTGTCCCCACTGTATGTTTACATCAACAGAAGAGAAACTGTATCACACATAGTTCCGCTTGGTACAAAATCCCAGCTCCCTGCGGTCCCAAACCTCACATTAAAACGTTTAAAATATTCCGGTGTAATATCGCTTCAACAATGAAACGATATCAATGTACTACGACAAATAAAAAGTACGAGCCGTGTTTCTTGCGTGAATGCGGATTGTCCCAACGAAAATGTTCCTCCGGAAGGATTAGGAGGTTACACCGTTCATGGATTAGCGCTGCGGCGTCTGGGTCGCTCTTTTGTTTACATCAGTTTTCCATTTATTCTCAAACGCTCAGGTAAATGAAACCTTCGAGAAACCCCTAAAGACTTTCTTTACTTTCCATTTGAAACACATTTATCAAGTGACAGCATTTGCCAAGCGTTGCCAGCTCGCTGAATGCTGCAACTGTGTTAGTAATTGCTAGCAGGGCAGCTAGTGTGAATGTTATTGTCTGTAGGTACAATTAATTCACTGTTCACAAATTTAAACCAGATGTTAAATGTTAATTTTGTTTCCGTAGAGTGCTCATCCTGTTGTGTAATCAAAGTGTCACCTCTTTTTTGATAATTTTGTGTAATTTTGTACAAAAAAATAACTGTCACTGGCAATCCGTGTATCATTCGATCATTCGTTTTTTTATTTAATATTGATTTAGGCCCATAAAAAATGAATTTTTTAAATCAATGGATTTTTTTGAGCTGCCTTGTTTTGGTCTGATAATACTGTCGGTCTGATAATACTGTCACTTGATAATTTTGTGTAATTTTGTACAAAAAAATAACTGTCACTGGCAATCCGTGTATCATTCGATCATTCGTTTTTTTATTTAATATTGATTTAGGCCCATAAAAAATGATGGGCCTAAATCAATGGATTTTTTTGAGTTAATGATATACAGGCTCTGCCTTGTTTTGGTCTGATAATACTGTCAGAATATCCTTGATTTCACTTTCTGCTATGTTATAATCTGTTGATGTGTCTAAAGCTGTCTTTTATTTTAAAAAGCAAAGTAAAATATTCCTTTTATTTATAACATATCATTTCCAGAGTCATTTTAATAAATTATTTTAATACAGCAACCTTTGACTTATGTGCCTAAATCAATTTGTGCTGTTTTAAAGAAGCGCTATTGATTTTCTTACATTAATAAAAGGTCTCAAAGAAAATCCAATGGACCTCCAGAACAAAAAGTGTGAATATGTGATAGTATTCATGTGACCTGTGGAAGCAGAAGTATTACCAGTCACTACATTAGGACAAGGTAATATGTGTGTGTGTGTGTGTGTGTTTATGTAAGATAGATTTGAAATTGTAAATGAGAGACATTCATTTTCTTAATTACTTACCATGGTTTGAAAATAATTTTCCAATTTGTTTGTACTTGCATGCATAACCTCTGCTTTGTGTTTGCTCTCAGGTGTGATGTAGATTTTTGTTCCTGGCTATGACACTTTTTATTATAATGTTTAACCCACAGTTTGGAGTGAAAGCATGTTTAGCGCTACCCAAACCTCCAAATCCCAGTTCCTGGATAAAGCCAGGATAGCACGGGAGGAAAGGAAAGGTTATAAAGAGAAAGAGAATGCTGCCACACAAATCCAGGCTCTGGTCAGAAGATTTCTCTGCCGTTGCAGACTGCAAAGGGGAATCAGGTTAGGACTGAAATGAACCATTCTTTGCAATAGTCAAAGGCCTTTGCTGACTTTGTTGGCTAGAGATAAAAAAGTAAAAATTAGGACTAAAACAGCACAGGAAAATTAAGTGCTAATTGTGTTAAAATACTTCTTGAATAAAGTAAATCCTATTTTTAAAAAAAGTTTGTTGGATCCAATGTTATTTTAGTACTATTAGAATACTATTTTAATTTGACTAATATTTTGAATTTGGTTTTTAAATTTTCAGTTTTCATTTTGACTTTAGATTAATTTTTAATAATTTAACTTGTTAACTGTCACTGGCCCACTTGTGGGCCCTCTTGTCATTACATGTTTTAACAGTAATATCTTAGTCTGAACCTAAAGTAATCTTGACAAACTATATATCGTTCGAAAGCTTAAAGACTCTAGTTTTCATATTTCATGACTAATTTAAAAAAATATATTTTACAGAGCAACTGTAATTTATTCATTTGCAAGAAGAGTGCTCATCAGAGTCAGAGAGCGATTTCTGACCTTTATTTTGAAATAGTGATGCACATATGAAATCATGAAAAATCAGTAAAAACCTACATTCATTTTCATGTCAAGTGTTCAAAAGATAACATCCATTCTATTTTTGGAGAAAAAATGGTCTAAAAGTGTTTTGACTATAAAGAAAAACAATAGATTCTCCATTTTTGATGCAGCGTGAACTGTAACATAGGTCTAAGTAGGGCTGCATGATAAATGGAATCGAGATCTCGATTCGACAGAAGCTGCGATTGTCATGCGTATCTTTCAGTGAAGCACGGTTCTGTGATCAGCAGTAAATCTCCATCCGAAGGCCAGAGGGTGCTCTCGAGCTGAAACTCCAAATACGCCTCGCAGAAGAAACCCAGAAAATGGCTATCTCTGCAGCTGAATAAACAGAAGATTCAACTGCTTTCATTGATTCAACATGACTAATAAACACACGACTACGACAATATATGGTTTATCGGAGTTCTTATTATCATAATTTTCATTAAAATAAAGCATATTTATAATTCAATGCCTTTATCACTGCTTAAATACTATGAAATATGTTGCGTGCCTTATTCTGTGTAAGAAGCCTCATCATCTCACAGAAGGATTTATTTCAAACACTCGACTGACGTTATGAAGTGAGTTTGGAGTAAAAATATGTTATTAAATGTGGTATTTTCACATGCTTTCACATGGAGCAGCATTTACTTCACAAAACCATAGTTCACTGAGAAGATATGCAAACAGCTGTCATTATCGCAAACGATTTCTTCGATTTCAGAATCGCGCAATAAAATC